GCCCACCCCAAATCCTCACCCTTCCTCCCCTCTGCCAGCCCCATCCCCTGAGCCTGGAGGAACCCGAGTGGGGAATCCACGGATTCTCCATGGAGGAATCCCCTGGCTGATGAAAGCCATGGATTCCCTCTTGAGGAATCCTCTCCCTGGAGGAATCCCCTGGCTGGGTAATCCGAGGATTCTCCTGGAGGAATCTCCTGGAGGATTCTCCTGGAGGAATCTCCTGGAGGATTCTCCTGGAGGATTCTCCTGGAGGATTCCAGGGACTCCCTCCGGCTCTGCTGCCCCGGGGCTCCGTTCCCAGTTCCCCCCCAGCCCTGGGAGCAGGAGTGGGGAGCAGCCCCTGCTCCCAGTGCTCCCAGTGCTCCCAGTGCTCCCAGTTCCACCCAGCGGCTCCTCCCGGCGCCCAGCAGCGTTTTGGGGTCCCCGAGGGGCTCTTCCCCCCGGGTGGGGATCCAGGTTCCCTCCAGCTTTTCCCAACCGTGCCGAGACTCTAAAGGAATTTTATTTTTCTCCAGGCCCAGCCCTGGTTTGGGAGAGCTGGAATCGATTTTTTTCTCATTTTTCCTGGATGAATCCTCGTTTTTCCTGGATGAATGCTCGTTTTTCCTGGATGAATCCTCGTTTTTCCTGGATGAATCCTCGTTTTTCCTGGATGAATCCTGTTTCTTCCCTCCCAGAGTCCCCAGGCCCTTCCCGTGAGCAGAACCGACCTGACCCCAGCACCAGCAGCAGCTCCAAACCTCAGAGACTCGAAGGCTGTTTCCTCTTCAGGGCATTTCTTGTTTTGGTTCTGGCACTGGACTCGAGGCAGTGCCAAGCCCTGTCCTGGCAGTGCCAAACCCTGTCCTGGCCGTGCCAAACCCTGTCCTGGCATTGTCCAAACCCTGTCCTGGCACTGGCCAAGCCCTGTCCTGGCCGTGCCAAACCCTGTCCTGGCATTGTCCAAACCCTGTCCTGGCATTGCCAAACCCTGTCCTGGCACTGTCCAAACCCTGTCCTGGCAGTGCCAAATCCTATCCTGGCAGTGCCAAGCCCTGTCCTGGCAGTGCCAAACCCTGTCCTGGCATTGTCCAAACCCTGTCCTGGCATTGTCCAAACCCTGTCCTGGCAGTGCCAAACCCTGTCCTGGCAGTGCCAAACCCTGTCCTGGCAGTGCCAAGCCCTGTCCTGGCAGTGCCAAACCCTGTCCTGGCAGTGCCAAGCCCTGTCCTGGCACTGTCCAAACCCTGTCCTGGCAGTGCCAAACCCTGTCCTGGCATTGCCAAACCCTGTCCTGGCCGTGCCAAACCCTGTCCTGGCCGTGCCAAGCCCTGTCCTGGCAGTGCCAAGCCCTGTCCTGGCCGTGCCAAACCCTGTCCTGGCACTGTCCAAACCCTGTCCTGGCCGTGCCAAACCCTGTCCTGGCAGTGCCAAACCCTGTCCTGGCAGTGCCAAGCCCTGTCCTGGCATTGTCCAAACCCTGTCCTGGCA